TTATTTATTTATTTATTTAATTGAGTTTGTACCCCGCCCTTCTCCTTGCGGACTCAGGGCGGCTGACAGCCTGATAAAAACCACTACAAAAATACCCCAAAAACTATCATTAAAACAAAGTTAAAATGAAATATTAAATTTGGCCGTATTAATTATTTTTTCAAATATAAATTTTTATTATTTTCATCATAAAAAAGAAACACATGACAAATACATCACAATGTAAAAACCCTACCCCCCACCCCCCACCCCCGGACTTCCCAAACCTAATCCCAGGATACTATTCAACTAAAAGTAAACTACTATTAATATCCCTAACTCCACAAAATATTAGTCTACATAGGTAGGTGAAATATATAAAAAAAAGAAAACAAATTATCTAAAAACCTAAATTATATTCCACCATTCTATGCTTATTTTGAATATAAACAATCCATCTTCTCCATATTGATAAAAATTGTTCATTTGAATGATTGAATGATTTGGCCGTATTAATTGTTAAAATTGCTTTTAAAACCCCACTACAAAATTTCCCCTTAGGCCAGTCCTGCTTGTTATTAATAACCTCCACCAGCCTGCTTCTGGACTAAGGCTCGCTGCAAATAATGCGTGCTAATTCACATTTACCCAGCCCCCCCCCTAAACTAGCTGCGGGGGTCCTTTCAGCCCCCCCCCCCTTGAAGTCCTCAGCCGCCCCGCCACGCGGCCAATGCGGGGTCGCGGCCCCTTTAAATCGCAGCGCCCTCCGCTCCCCCGCCCCCCCCCGCCCTTCTCCGTCTTGTTTATACCGCGGTGCCACCGAACTTGAGCCCCGTCCTCCCGCCGCGCCGGCCACGCCCCCCGCCCTCTCCCATTGGCTGAGCGGCGGCGGGCGGGCTCGCGGCATTGGCCCGGGCGCCGCAGGCAGGTTCGACGGCGCTCGCAGAGGCAGTCAGCTGACCTGGCCCGGCCCGTCCACTCCCCCTCGGAGCTGCTCCGGCTCTTGTGCCGCCGCCGCCGCCGTCGCGGTTCCGCTGCCTGCGCTGCCATGGCGGGCGAGGGCGGCTGCTTGGCGCTCCTCTGCGGCTGGGCTGCAGCGGCCGCCGTCCTGTGGCCCGCCGGGGCCGCGCTGCGAGACGGGGCGTCGTCGGCGTCGGCGTCGTCGTCCGGCGCGGGCGATGCGGAGGGCGGGGGTGCCTGCCCGCCGTGCCCGCGAGTGCTGGGCTTCCGCCTGGAGGACGGCGCCTCGGCCTCGGGGGGCCTGGTGCGCGCCCCGCCCGGAGCCACCTTCCGCCTGCGCCTCTACGGCACCGGCCTGCACAACCGCAGCTGGCCCTGGGCCGCCTTCGTGCCGGAGGAGGCGCCGTGCGGGGGGACCCCGGGGGACCCCCGGGCCACGCCCGCGCCCGCCGGGGCCCCGCAGGTGCTGGCCCACCAGCTGCTGCCGGCCGGCCAGCACGCCGCCCTGCTGACGGTCAGGGTGGCCCCCGGGGGCCCCCGAGGACGGTACCGGCTCTGCAGCCCGGCGGGGCCCGGGCGCCAGTGGGCCCCCGCCGCCCCCGGAGACGCTATCCTGGTGACGGAGGACGAAGGCGGGGGGGGCGAGGCGTGGCCCCCGCCCTTGCCCCCCTGGCTGCTGGGCACCCTGGTGGCGCTGCTGCTGGCCCTCCTGGCCCTGCTGCGCACCTTGCAGCTCAGCACCCTGTGGCTGGACCCGGCCGAGCTGTACGTGCTGCGGGACTGCGGCTCCGAGGCCGAGCGGGGGGCCTCCAAGGCGCTGGAGCCCGTGCGGCATCGGGGCGCCTTTGTCCTGTGTTCCCTGCTGCTCTTGAGCGCCTTGGCCCAGGCCGCCCTGGCCGTGCTCTTCTACCGGGCCGTGGGGGCGCTGGCCCCTGCCATCCTCGGCGTGGCCGCCTTGACCTTCCTGCTGGCCGAGGTGCTGCCCTTCGCCGTCAGCTCCCGCTGGGGGCTCTCGCTGGCCCCCCGCGGGCTCTGGCTGACCCAGTTCTTCATGCTGCTGACCTTCCCCATCTCGCTGCCGCTCAGCCGGGTGCTGGAGCTGGCCTTGCGGCACGACAGCAGCACGTCGCTCTTGCGGGAGAAGATCCTGGACATGGTCCGCAACAGTGACCCCTACAACGAGTTTGTGCGGGAGGAGTTCAGCAAGGGGGCCCTGCGGAACAAGACGGTGGAGGACGTGTTGACCCCGCTGGATGAGTGTTTCATGTTGAACGCCAACGCGGTGCTGGACTTCAACAACATGTCCATGATCATGCAGAGCGGCTACACCCGCATCCCGGTGTATGAGGACGAGCGCACCAACTTGGTGGACATGCTTTATGTCAAGGACTTGGCCTTGGTGGACCCTGATGACTGCACCCCGCTAAGCACCATCATCAAGTTTTACAATCACCCGCTTCACTTTGTCTTCAATGACACCAAACTGGATGCTGTGTTGGAGGAGTTCAAGAGAGGTAAATATGTATCTTTATATTTTCACAGCAGGTACTGGGTCCATAGTAGATTGCTTATCCAGTTTTCATTAAAAAATAAATAAACATTGGGACGGATAGCGACCTGAATTCTCTGGAGCATCTGGCTATATAACACACAGTTGGTTTTCAAACTATTCTGAAAGTTTCTTTGGAAGCTTTAAGGGGTTGTCCAGCAAGGATTGTCCAGCAAGATGATCAGGGATGATGAACAAATATCCTGGAAGATAGCTTTCATAAATCTTTTGCTTATTGCCATGATCTTTTCCTCTGCTCGCAGAATGTTGGAACTTCTGCCCTTTAGGAATCCTTTCAGTAAGATCCAGTGACACCCTGCAGAATCTGTTCACGCCTGCATTTGTGGCATACAAGTTTATTCCATCTTTCGCACAACTCAGAATTGCATGTGTGATATTTTCTTTGCCCAGCCAATCATTTCATTCTCAGAATAGCTCCGTAAGGTTATGTTTACAATTAATGTCTGACCCAGAGCTACCCAATGAACTTCAGTACCTAGTGGGGATCTGAACTGACATCTCTCTGGTCCCAGTTCAGCACTAACTGCTCACATTTTCTGTTTTGAGCACATTCTTTGAGTGCTTTTTAATAGCACTCTGTGATTGCATGTTGAAAACAAGTAGTTGAGGCAACTTTTTCATGAAAGTTATCATTGCCTTGTCCTCCTCTAAAAAAAATTAATCATTTGATTTCCTAGAACAAACCAACTGTACAAAAGGTTATCTGAGATACTGGGTTCTCTAGAACGGGGGTCCTCAACCTTGGCAACTTTAAGACTTGTGGACTTCAACTTCCAGAATTCCTCAGCCAGCTTTGTCAAGGTTGAGGACCCCTGCTCTAGAACTCTTCCTTAGAGTGTTAATGGTGAAGAAGCCAGAAATGCTGGTCTAATTTTGAAATTGTCTCCCTTTTCCCACTGTTTGTAGCATTCTGTCTTATGAAATAAGACTTTTATCCTTTTTAAAGTGGTCCAGGAATGGTATTATCTGGGATGTTTTGAAGTTAGGAAGTTTGCAAGATGTATAGCAATTTATTTTATTTAAAGGGTTTTAGCAGTACATTTAATGAATCCGTTTTGCGTCACTTTTAAAAATATTTCCAAAGTTGTCTTGTATGGCAATCTTGCTATGGACACCCAAGAGAACGACCATAAAGTAGGGCAAAACCATCACAATGATTCAGTGCATCTTTAGACTTAGGTGCAATTGTTACCAGTCAGTCAAAATTGAGAAGACAATCCGATGAGAATGCGTAGTAGGAAGTGTATGAATAAATAATTTCATGTACTTAAAGGCAGCTTCTAATGGGAGTACATTCTGGTCTTGGTGCTTTAATGATTTATCAGTTGTTACAAGAGCCGGAGTAAAATGATAAATTTTATTGGGCCATCTAATTATCTGTGAACGTTGCTAGCTGTTGAACTCTCTAACCTCTCTCGGTGCTCTTGAACTATGCAAACCTTCAGCAGAAACACATCATAAAAAGGCCCACAGGGTCTAGCAGCGTGTGCCATGCAGTTCAAACTATTAAGGCAGTTTTCCCTCCAGATTGGACTTCAGCTCTCATAATCCTCAGATGTCACAGTTAAGGAAAACATCCTGAAGGACACCAGGATGGGAGATTGCTCCATATTTTGTTCCTCAATAGGAACAATTTTCTACATAAGTTAGCACGTGTGATCTTTCAAGAGGGAAAAAGTGTATTGTTTTATGTACATATTCCTTTATATTATGGACACTTGTATCTTCCTGAGATATATGTGTAAATGTGATCACTGTGACCATATTTTTCTGCTGTTTCTCCATGTGAAGAAACGGTGCTTGGTGGCTTAAAATGATCCTGTGGGCATAAAATATGGGTTGGGGGCAAAGAAAAAAAGTCCCAACTATAAAAACAGTTTTTTCAACCACAAGGACTGTTTATGAATAAGTCTCAGTCTGGCTTGGGACAGGGTGAGTTAAGTCCTGCAAAAAATAAACACCACTGGACTGGCACAGTTCTGCAGGCTGGGACTCATTGGATAGAATATTTTTTCTAGATCCATCATAATTGCTTGCTCATAGAAAATGATTGTTCAATCAATCAAAATAGAACCTGGAAGGGACCTTGGAGGTCTTCTAGTCCAGCCCCCTGCTCAAGCAGGAGACCCTACACCATTTCAGACAAGTGGCTGTCCAGACTCTTCTTAAAAGCCTCCAGTGATGGAGCACCCACAACTTCTGGTGGCAAGCTGTTCCACTGGTTAATTGTCCTCGCTGTTAGGAAGTTTCTCCTCAATTCGAGATTGTTTCTCCTCTTGATTAGTTTTTTTTCTGTGCTGTTGTAACTTCAAACGGTCACTGAATGAATGGCTGTAAGTTGAGGACTGCCTGTATGAGTAATTTTCAGATCCATCGTTGTGGTTATGTTATGCAGTCTAACATCCATTCAAAATTGATTGAGTTCTCAGTGACTAAGTGATATTACCTGCATACAAGAGTACATTTGTGTTCATGTTCAAAGCCAACACTACTCCTCATACACCACAAACATTCCATCAGTATATAAACAACCAAGAGAATATCACACATCTTTGTCATACTCCTTTAGTGTGGAATTACCAGGCATTCTATTTATTCTTATACATATTTCACATCCATCATATATTGCTCTTATCCCATATAATAATGAATTTTTTTTTACAATGCTTTAATCCAGGGGTCTCCAAACCCCGCGCGGTGGCCCACTATTGGGCCGTGAGCCATTTGGAACCGGGCTGCGGAAGCAGTGGGCGAGCATGTGCGCATCCCCACTTGTGCGAGCAGCGGGCAAGTGTGTGCGTGCAAACTCCATTTGTCAGGCAGCAGGCGTGTGTGCCCGCCGCTCGTACAAATGGAGCTATGCACACGCTTGCCGGATGCTTGCGCAAAATCACCCACTCCCCAGCCAGTCCCCAAAGCTGGAAAGGTTGGGGTTGTTGTTAGTTGCGAAGTCGTGTCCGACCCATCGCGACCCCATGGACAACGTTCCTCCAGGCTTTCCTATCCTCTACCATCTTCTGGAGTCCATTTAAGCTCACGCCTCCTGCTTCAGGGACTCCATCCAGCCACCTCATTCTCTGTCGTCCCCTTCTTCTCTTGCCCTCCATCTTTCCCAGCATTAGGCTCTTCTCCAGGGAGTCCTTCCTTCTCATTAGGTGGCCAAAGGACTTGAGTTTCCACTTCAGGATCTGGCCTTCTAAAGAGCAGTCAGGGTTGATCTCCTCTAGGACTGACCAGTTGGATCACCTTGCAGTCCAGCACCATAGTTCAAAGGCCGCCATTCTTTGGCGCTCAGCCTTTCTTATGGTCCAACTTTCACAACCATACATTGCAACTGGGAAAACCATGGCCTTGACCATACGTACTTTAAAGGTTGGGGAACTCTCTTTAATCCCTTTTTCAGGGTGGAGTGGGGCCGACTGAATGGAGCTGAGCATTTATTGCCCTTCCTGACGCCTGTGCGGCGTTTGCAGTAGATATTTCTTTTCTTTGCGCCTTGATGGAGAAACATCTACGGCTGCCTAGGATTCAACGCTCAACCTTGCGAGTGGCAGGCAAGCATCTTCACCTCTAGCCTACTCTCTTTTGAATTCTTCTTCAACTTTCTGTAAATCAAGGCTGCTCACTTTATCATATGCTTTCCCTAAATGAACAGACGTGATAAGATTTTCTTTCATACTTGCCTACATTTCTCAGTGAGCTGCTAAAAAGTAAACATCTGGTCTGCACTTCGCCTGCCCACCTAAAGCTTGCTCCTTATTACATTTCACAACTCTTTCATCTGGAATTCTACTTCTTCTTCTTCTTCTTGTGCCATATCCGTTATCGGACATTGGCGATCATGTTGGGCGATCCTGTTTTTATCAGCAGCCGCACGAAAAAGTGCTGCTGAGTTTTGTCCAAACCAGTCCCTTAGATTTTGAAGCCACGATGTTCTTCTTCTGCCTGGACCTCGTTGGCCTTCAATCTTTCCCTGGAGGATTAAACGGAGTATGCCGTATTTTTTTCTGGGTGTGGCATCACGTGTCCGAAATATTCTAATTTTCATTTTTTAATTGTTTTGGTGATTTCCCTGGGCTTTCCCAGGTGGCTTATCCCCTCATTTCCGATCTTGTCAACCCAGCTTATATGTAACAGTCGCCATCTGTAAATCCACATTTCAAATGCTTCTAGTCTCTTCAGGTGACCTTCTGTCAGAGACCAACTCTCTACTCCATAGAGCAGGATAGGAAAAATATAGCATCTGACAAGCCTGATTTAGTCTTCTACAGAGTATCCTTTCAGGCAAATTTAACAAACAAGTCCTCTGTTGTGTTTATATCCATTCTTGCTACTGTTTCCCTTTATACACCAGGAAAGCAACAACATCCTTCCCGCAGAGGTTCAGTCTTCACACCCTTTTTTAAACAGATTGAAGAGCCATTCCAGGAAGAAGTCACTTACATATTTTAATATTTCACCAATCGCATTGTCTGCGCCTGCAGGTGTAACCCGTTTTTTTTTATTTCCACACTGCTCTGGATTTCCCATCTCTTTCCCTCTTACATGTCCCTCGCTCTTTTTGAATGCTTTCTTTTGCAAACTACCTTTTTCTCTTCGATATGCATTATCCGGTACAAGGTAGTCCTCAACTTCACGACCACAATTGAGCCCAAAGTTTCTGTCGCTAACTTACAAACGGCACTGAGAAAAGTGACATGACCACTTGCAAAACTCACTTAACAGAGGTCTCACTTAGCAACAGAAATTTTGGGGTCCATTGCGGTCGAAAGTCAAGGACTACCTTACTTTGTTACCCAGGGAATAAGTGTGGCCCAGTGGCCCTTACTGCTTAATCTGTGAAGTGCAGCCTTGAGTATAGGACAGGGGTAGGCAACCTTGGCTCTTCGATGACACGTGGACTTCAACTCCCAGAATTCCTGAGCCGGCATGGCTCAGCTTGGA